TTCTTCCACCTTGTGAAGCTTGACTGCTTATCGCAGTTTCGAAATTGCGGTCCGAGAATTAACTGATGGTTGGTCTTAAAAATCGTGGAGATCACACCTTGGTAATGAACATCATCGTTTCTTGGATCAAAAGACAACATTTTCACGTTTCTCTGTTGCTCTTGAATTTGCCCTAGCCTTTGAGCCCTACGTTTTCTTGCACTGTAAGAAACCCGTCCAGCCGCTGCTTCAACAAACGTTTGAGAGACGCAATCGCTGGAATTCAGCGATTGGTGAACGCAGTTACTAAGCTCGTCATCCATTAGCTGCCAGCTTTGCACTTGAGAAGCTCCTCCATTCATTCCTTCAGCCATGAACGAATCATGATCTTCGGCTACTTGTTCATGTTCGGGATCGAAACCGTTGGTAGTTCTGCTCGGGGAAGTCGTTGGAAAAGGCTCAGTACCGAACATAGGAGCGTAAATCTCATCGCCTAGAATCTGTTGTGGATCGAGATCCATGTGATAATCGGATCTTGTTGTTAATATTGTAGCGTATGGATCAGGAGCTTCTAGGAATGATGTCTTGACGCATTGTATAACGTTCATGTCTTCTTGAATCTACGATATGAAAACGCACACAAGAAAATTCTTACACTTTTGTATGTATGTTTTCAATTATAGACATGTAGAGTGCCTAATCCGTTTAACAAAATTAAGCATCAAAAACAATATTAAACCTTTAAGTGTAATTTAGGTTATCGAGTCGTCTTTTTCCTAGTGAAGTGTAACTAAAGGTAAACCGTAAACCTAATTGCAAAGAAAATTTCCCACAAAAATCAAACGTTTTTGAAACTTTTTAAACAAGATAAATTTTGTTAGAAACCACAAAAGAAACGTGGAGAAATGGATTGAAGAGTTAATTTTTCATGTTAAAAACTGTGTTATAGTTTGGAAAATTTGAGGCAAGAAAACGGAAATAGCGACTTACATGTTCTGTAGTACCGATCTCAACGACTCCTCCAAGGAACGGGAAGCAAACCACTGTCTTAACCGCAGCACTCTAAACCCGCACAAAGAAAAAGAGATGTAGTTAGCGTTACGAGTCTTTCGATTTTAGCGTTTCCAATCGCAATAATGTTAAACAGAGCGGCTAAAATGACTTTACTAGAATACAACAACTTACTTTTGCCAAAAGAGAGCGGCTA